TTGGCATGATGCAAATCCACTGGAGAGTCACAAGACAGCTTTCTAACTCAGACAGACAAGGAGGGTGTATCCTAGCAACAACACGAAAACCACGTGATGAATCTCAGAACGACTTCTCTGCCTCGATCAGGTTTTACTCCCCTTGAAATGGGGAATGCAAAATAGAGAATTTACCTCCTGCCCAACAGTAGGATTGCAGTGGATTGATTAATATGAAAAGACAAAGTAATGTAGAAATGATAGGCATAAAATCATGCTGCATTAACTGTAGCCCAGAAATCTTAAATCGGAGTAGCATGTTCAAATTATATAAAGAAAAAAAACAACAGTTCCCTCATTTTTTTAATAAAAATGTTCCAAGGCTTTTTTTTTTCCACAATTTAATTTTTTCCAGAATTTAAGAGACCCAGGCAAGGAAGGGAAAGAGGAGAAGAGAGGCTGATACTAATTGCTTCCCCAGAAAAAAAATGCACTTGTTTGTGTTCACACATTAAGTTAACCATTTGGGTTTTATGTTTTGCCATGGCATGATATACTAACTTAGCCATTACATTTATTAACTATGCTTTATGCTTTTCCAAAAGGCCATTATTTAAAAAGCAATGCTTTGGTACCATGTATGAAACCAGTAATTTTTTTTCAGCTGATATCTTTCATTATAGTTTCCTCTTTATATTAAAGATGTTCAGATTTCATACATTTTCATAGAGAGCACATACAATATACTTATTATCTTCTAAACAATTGGCAAATCAAATAAATCAAATAAAAAATATTATCCTCAGCAGATTCACAGGCAAATTCCCACTGATTCAGAGTTGGATATTTCATATAAACATATATGACTGCTAAAGTATACAAAATGACATTTGTAAGATTAAAATCTGTATATTTTCTCATTTTCTGATAATTTAGCTGCCCTGGACAATTCAGTCTACCACTTTTGGATGTTTTCTTCCTTGTTACAAGATCTGTTGATCTAATTTTTAAAAATGTGTTACATTATATCTAATATATTCATTCATTCATTCATTCACATGCTTTGTGATGTAGCAATCTAATCCAAACCTTTGATAAAGGCCATTGAAGAGCTACAGTTGCACTGGAAATCTCATTACAGCTCAGTGACTGATATTTTATCTGCATCAATACCCGTGTCACTTTTCATCTTACTTTAACTTTGGAATCTTTCAGTGACCTGAAATAATGTTATACATTTCTTACATGCTTCTTCCTCCTGAATTACAAAATATACTTTGTTTTGTTTCTTTATGCCGATACTGTTCAGTTACTCTCTTGTATGCATATATATGTTAAGTTCAGGGGTGGGATTCAAATTTTTTAACAACCAGTTCTGTGGGCGTGGCTAAGTTGGTGGGCGTGGCTTGGTAATCATGTTATTGGCTGGGCGTGGCCAACTCAATATCACTCACATCGAGGCACGCATCTCCTCACCTGGCCTCTCATGACTGTGGGGATGCTGCAACAGTCGTAAGTGTGAAAAACAGTCATAAGTCACTTTTTTCAGTGCCATTGTAACTTTGAATGGTCAAACTCCACACAAGTGAAGTACCAGCAAAGGAGGGGGGAAAAAACTCCAGAGACTTTCTTGAGACAGGAAGTCTAGTCCTGCCAAGAATGTAATAAGGGTTAATGAAGAGGCAGTTTCTGTAAGCGACACCAGACTGTTTCCTTCCTGCCTTCCTTACAGAATTAGGCCAGTAATTTCTTCTAACAACCGGTTCTCCGAACTGCTTAGAATGTTAACAACCAGTTCTAGCGAGTAGGTGCAAACTGGTAGAATCCCACCCCTGGTTAAGTTCCAAACACATAGAATACAGTTTATTAAATTAAAATTTAAAAAAGCTCTAAAAGATTGTTTTCCCTGAAAAGTTTTTGTGAGACAAATTCTGCAATAAGACAGGTTTTTTTTTTTGCTTTGTTAACAAAATCCCAGCAAATTATCTTCCTAAAAAAACAATCACATATATTGTCCTTGTTTAGCATCCGTTTGCAATTATGATAGTGATGAAAAGGAAATATTAAACCAATCCTTCCTTTTGTGACCTTGACAGGTCTGTTAAAGCAAAGGAAAACTGAAGTAAGATCCTAAGCACATTGGCAATTTGACTCAGCAACCACTTCTCTTAACAACCCAGTTGCCAATTTCAATTACAAAACAACTGGAAATGTTCCAGTTTCCACTGATTGCATCTATTCTAGCTTTTAATTTTTAAAACAGAGGCAATTTTATCCTTTATTTCTGGTTAGTTTTCTGCACAGGTAGTCCTCAACTTACAACGTTTTGTTTAGTGACTGTTTGAAGTTACAATGGTACTGAAAAAAGTAACTCATGACCACTTTTTACACTTATGATCATTGCAGTACACCCGTGGTCATGTGATCAAAATTCAGATACTTGGCAACTGACGCATATTTATGACGGTTGCAGTGTCCCCGAGTTATGTGATCCCCTTTTGCAACCTTCTGACAAGCAAAGTCAGTGAGGAAGCCAGATTTGCTTAACAGTCGTGTTACTAACTTAGCAACTGCAATGATTTACTTAACAACTGTGTCAAGAAAGAGTTGTAATATGCGGCAAAATCCATTTCACAACTGTCTCACTTAGCAACCGAAATTTGGGGCTCAATTGTGGCTGTTAGTCGAGGACTACTTGTATTGTGCTTTAACAAGGAATGGAATTGCTAGGAAAGAGATTGGCAACATAGGAACCACAGTTCCCAGATTTGGTAGGACTGCCATGTCAGCATAGACAGCTGCCTCTGGTGGCCTTGGAAAGGGCAGCAAAAATGGCCACTGACGTGACCATTGGAAAGGCAGAAAATAATCTACAATTTAAAATGTTGCATAAGCTTTGTTCTCTGTATACACAGGAAACTATTTTTTCAAACAATTAGTTACTGTCTACAATAACTAAACAAGCTAAGTTATGTTTGTGAGCCTCCTTCTTGACTAAGCAAACTCCTGAGTTAAGTATCTGAGAGGAATATACAAAGGAGACCTCTGAAAGATTCTTTTAACATTAGATTGATTAATCTAACAAGCAGAATTAATACAAGTTTCTATACTGTTATCTCCTCCCCCTTTTGTTGGGAAGTGGTTCCAGATTTCCCCCCCCCCTCCACAAATCTGCATATATAAACCCTAGCTTATCAATGTTAGAAAAAAATTGAATTTGTTAGTTACTATTTCCTTGTTACAATGAGACCTTTAATTTATAATCTTAGTTTTTGAAAATATACAGGTAAATATTAGGCATGCTGGGTTTTTTTTAATATCTTGAACTAAATTGCTAACTTCCGTAAGAAAATCATATAAATATCATTGTAATAATTCTCATTTGGACCATATGTCTACCTTCTTTTCCTTTAATTTCTCATGAGGATTTGTTTTGCCACTGACTGTTGAATTAATTGAATATTCTTATTCTTCTCAATTTCTACAGGAGCGAATGCCTCTGCTCCAGATCAACTGAGTTTGGCCTTAGCTTGGAACAGGGTAGACATTGCTCGCAGCCAGATTTTTATTTATGGGCAACAGTGGCCGGTACGGTATCTATATGGTTATTAAATACTTTTCCAGTTGAGCATGGTTATTTTCAAGGGAGAGAAGACAGGGAGGGAGGGGGAGAGAGAGAGATTCTGGTACATAAACAGATTGTCATGTAATCATAATAAAGATGTCCGTAATTTTTCTTGTAGGAAATAGTGTCATCTAGTGGAGCTGTTAAAATACAACATAACCAATTATTTTATATTTTGTAGGGAAAAAAATCTATTTAAGGACAAATATATTTATTGTGGCTTAAGCTTTCAGTCTGCCTCTTGAGATGCCTGAAATGTCATATCATACACTTTTGTTCTCTCTCTCAATATATATTTTGAGAGGCTGTGTTCCAGTTCAGCAACTCCAGATAACGAAACCTCAAATAACAAGGTTGAAAAAATGTTTTTGCACACCTGTAATTTTGCACATGTGCCGCAGATATACAAATACAACAAGTAATGGAGCAGATGCGATTCAGATACAGACTCTTCAGTTATTCAAAAAATTCAACAATTCCCATCTCAGCTTCTGTGTCAGAGAGAAAAACTTGAAAATTTGGGAGGGATGAATAGCATTTCTGACTGTTATGGAAGGGTAATATAATAACTTCAGAAAGAGAAATTAATGGAAAGTTGTTGAATAGGTTGGGATGGATGAACCTGGAGGAGGATTAGTGGCAGAAAGGGCAATTGTCTTCAGTAAGAAGGCTAGCTGTATATGTGATCATTTCCACATAAGCTAGAATTCAGAATTGTCCAATGGAAGCATTGTTATGTGTGAATGCTCCCTGCCACAGACAATCATGTTGTAATGTGGAGACCATCATTTCATTTATGTCACCAGTACAACTAGGAAAAGGCAAGTGCTCTTCATTACTTCTTCCATTTTGACTGAACACACTATGGTAAAACCTGAACAGAATCACATATAAACAAGTATTATTAATAATATAATGAATTCCCAGATTAAATTTTTCAACTGTTGAGAACTTTGATAATGTTCATGGTAAATCTGGCGTACTTAAATTTCCAAAACGATTCCATAAAGTTTGACCAACAGAATATGTCCTCTCACAATTGATAAAACTGAAGAACAGAAAATGGAGGATACTGAATAATTCTTCCAATGGAGAAATGCAAGCTTTAAGACTCCCTCAATATTTTGTGCTAGGGTTAATGTATTTAATGATAAATGATACCATTTATTCAGGTTGGTAAAAACTGATAGATGTCCACACCAAGAGAGTAGAAGTAAAAAGAAACTTACAATATTCCAAAATTGTATTGAAAAATAATGTTATGTGGAACCTATTTTTTAAGTGATAAGAAAATGAAAAATATTTCCATACCCCTTTTCTATAAACTTTCGCCATTGATCACAAGGTCTCCCTGATTAATCTATTTCCTTTTTAGGTGGGGTCCCTTGAACAGGCAATGTTGGATGCCCTGGTGCTAGACAGAGTGGATTTTGTGAAGTTGCTTATAGAAAATGGAGTAAGCATGCATCGTTTTCTCACCATCTCCAGACTAGAAGAGCTGTATAATACGGTAGGGGCCCTATTTGTTTATTTAATTCCCTTCAAATCTTAGCATGGAACCCAGAAATTAATCCAATTTCTTCATTCCTGAAATAATGCTTGCCTTCCTTAAAGTGTTCCTGTAACAAAATCTCATAATGCTTTGCCTGCTTCTTCTTTTATTAAACCCCAATACAAGTGTATAACATGCTTTTAAAAAACAACAACACGTACCCTTTTATAGTTTGGATTCTGTTAAAAATAATTTGCTCCCAAGATGAATTGCTTTTTTAAAAAAATGCTATTTTGAAAACACCACTGAATTGGCTAGGCGAAAGCAGACCATTTCAAATGTTCTATTTGGTTCCTATTATTTCTCAGGGAACACCAGCTGCCTTGTTGTCAAAACAATAAAACTTTCACTTACCAGCAGGCTGTAACTCATGTATTTCATTTAAAAGATGAGCAAAAATTCAATAATCAGCCATTTTCCTCATGCAGTCAGAAAAAGTAATGTTGCTGATTGAATTTTTGCTTGATTTTCATTTACTAATAATGGGGAGTAATAATGGTAACCTTAAGTCTATCTCAGAATGCATGGGTGGTATAATATCAAGGATTAATTATTCTAACTCTGCAGAAGTCAGTATACCTTGCCTCCTGCTCTGTTTTCTTAATCACTCCCCAACATTAACTCCTTTTAAAAAATCAAGAATTGCATGATTTGGTAAACTCTAATTCAGGCATATATAATACATAGTAGTATAGATAGTTAATATAAATAGTTAAGGGCCGTTAGTACTATTTATCCATAACTCAACTTTTCACCTAGTAGTAAATGTTTGAAGAACAGCTTAGTCCCTTTTGATCCACATTAACAAGTTGGATTAAGTCTACTTCTATCTCCACCCATTCTAAACACAAACATGGAACATCTTTTAAAAAATTAGTATGCCGCAAATAAATCTTTTCATACGGATGAACTTGAATCAAAAGAGAATATTTGTAGCTTAGGGTAACTAGGTAACAGTGCTAGAACGGAGTGGAGTTTGCTCTTTGTATACAAACCCCACTCTATACTACTGTAGCACTAGTTGGGTAATGAAACATTTGCAAAAAAATAACAAAGTTCAACCATAAGCCACAGATATTCTCTTCTTTTGATTCAAGTGTTTTGTAAGATATTAAGAAACTGCACATTCTTAATGTCACATTCAGTACTTTGGGTGTTATGAGTTTTTTTAGTTGGACTCTGTCCTTTAATCCAAATAGCTTTTTCAAATACATCAGAACTATTAAGCTGTTTGTTGTTATCCTTTTCAGAGACATGGGCCATCCAACACTTTGTATCACCTTGTCAGAGATGTCAAAAAGGTAAGAGTCCAAAGGTGGACAGTAACATGAAGGTAATATTGTAGCTGCTTCTTGTCATTAGAGACAGCCTCTGTTTTGCATGGGCTACCAACGAGCTTTCTTCCACCTTCTGCCATTGCAGTTGTACATTATGTGTTTGTAATGATTCTCAGCCTTGTGTACAATACAGTTAACTATTTAGTGGCTGCTAGTGGTTACTTTAGATGCTTTAGGTATACTGCTTCTGCTAGTGGACTGTAGGTGTTTTTCATGTGATGTGGATATATGCAATAGATGTATTTTAATAGCCATCAGTGTTACGAATGCTGATTTCCATATTGTGGGCCAGTGTTGGACATTGCAATATATATTATTGTTGTGCTGGATATTGAATGATTGCATTATTTTCAGCTTTGTTAAGTGCTATTTTTTTTTTATAAAGCCTCTTACCTTTTGAAGTAGCAAGTTTAAAAAGAAAACAGTTTAGATATAACTCAGTTTGTGTGACTGAAGCTACTTAAAGGAACTGGTGGAAGGACATTGTGTTTTTTATCTATTTGTCTTGGATCCTTACTCAATCATATTCCATCTCTTGCATGATTAGCAGCAGAGTGAAAAAGAGACTGAAGAGAAACTTGTTGGCCCTACAGGTTTTGGTAGCAATTCTTACACCTTCTTCATGCTGTATGTTGGGTACTGATTTCCTTCATGGAGATACAATGATATAAATTAAGCTGCAACTTTAAAATGGTATAAGAAAGCCTCACTTCTATCTGCCCATAAGAATAATCATGGGGGAAACCAGAGCAAAACATTAGCCAAATAAAACCTCATCCCACAATTTTTTTTTTTGCTGACAAAACTATAAATTGATTATTTAGAAATTGGTGAGGAGGGGACAAATAGGTACTAAAACAGGGGAACTTAATATCTATTGTCTAGTGCGTGCCTATGTACTTGATCACAATCTTATAATCATTTGGAGTTTGAAACATATGCATAAAACCCAAAGACCATTAGCTATAAATTTACATTTTTGTAGATTTCAGTTTTAAGGTGCTTTTGCCTTAAAACATGAATGTCCAGAAAATGAGAAAAATATAGATTTAAAATGGTTTGCCCTTTAAACTTTTGTAAAACAAAAACACAGAGACAGAGCGTCCAACAAAACATTTAAAGAATTTTAAATCATAAGTAATTCAGAAGTTTGAGGAAAACATTGAAATGTTTGAATATACTTGGAAGCAGGGGAAAAACTTTTTGGGGAACTTATTTTACATTTGTTACTTTATTTATGAAATACTAATTTTGGAGAACCAGTGCAAAATGTGTAACATTTTTTTTCAATAAAAGAGCTAAATGTCTATTGGGACAATAACATAACTTTTTACAACCAAAAATTTCATGAATATGCAGCACAGTACTGCCTAATCTAGTCAGGGTTTAATTTAATTTAAGCTTTTTGCTTCCCTGTTCTTTTTATTGTTAATTACAAGAAGCAATTTTTGTATAAATATATGTGTGTCTGTATGTGTGTATGTACACACACACATATATATGTGTATGTGTGTGTGTGTGTGTGTGTGTGTATATATATATATACACACATACATACATACATACATACATACACATACACACTTACACACACACCATATTTTTTGCTTCATAAGACACACTTTTTTGTCTCCCAAATATGGATGGAAATGTCTGTACATCTTATGGAGCAAATATTGCTGAAGCCCCACCCACTGGTTGCTTTTGGCCTCCGTGCACCCCATTTTGGCCTCCACATGCCCCATTTTTGGCTCATTCCAGGTGGTGAGGATCACTGCTGGTGGTGGTGATCAGCAGCGATAGACAGTGTTGATAGGTGGTGGTGGGGATCCCTGCTGCCTGGAACAGGCCAAAAACGGGACACATGGAGGCCCAAAAAGGGGCATGCAGAGGCCGAAAATAGGGCACGTGGAAGCGGTGATCAGCAGCGGCAATCTGTGCCACCTGGAGCAGCTGATCGGCGGTATTCCAGGAGGCTGATCCAACAACCAATCATCTGCTCGTGCTAAATCAGGCTGCGATAATGTGCTGAATGTGACCAGGCTGTTTGCTACAAGTATACTAGCCAGAGGAATACCAATGGAAGCTGGGAGGCAGAGGCAGATTTTTTTTTCTTGTTTTCCTCCTCTAAAGCTAAAGTGCGACTTATAGTCCGGAGTGTTTTATAGATAAAAAAATACAGTATATATGCTATCTCATGCAACAAATTTCAAGTTGGGGCCAACAGAATTTTACACACACACACACACACACACACACACCTGTTGTTTGTTTGTATGTTTTTTGGTCTCAACTTGAAATCTGTTGCATTAGACAGCGATTTTTTCCTCACTTCATAAATAATGAGGAAGTAAAATGTTTATGCTACAAGATATTAGATGATTTCCTGCAGACCTATACCTGAGTGATAACATTTCTTTCTTTTTAGTTTCTGAATATATCAACAAATCTGACATCAATTTAAATGAAATGGCATTCTAGAAAATAACCTCCTAATGCAACATATCATTATGCTGACAGCACAATGTTTTACTGCCCATGACAAAGACAGATGACTGTCTAAAGCAACTTATCTCATTCTGATCAATTTTTATTTCCGGTAGCTTAACATTTATTGTAACCCTTTAAGATCAAATAAATATTTGTTAAAATGAAGCAAGTATAAGTATTACCCAGAGAAATAAATTATATTCACTTTCTTCTGCTGAAGAGCAGTTTAATATTAAGACTGAAAAATAATTTTAGTATGTACATTTCTGGTACCTTTATGATACTTGAAAATTAAACAGCTAAATATAAAGCAGACTGAGAGCACATATAAAGTTGCATATGAAAAATTCCAAAAAAAGCTCTTGAGTGGATATAGCAGTTATATATTTTAAGTAACAAAATCCAGTTTTTTTCAATACTATAAAACTGCACTGTGAGCAGAACCTAATATTGGAGATAGTCTTTGCCCCAAGTATGTTAAGGAAAATCATTTCTTTCTAATTGTAAAGGGTGCAAAGAGAATACCATTCAAGTAACCATAAAAATAATTTTGCTTGCATGCAAGGAAAGGGGAGTTAGCAAAAATGGCAAAATTTTGCACTTTTCCTTATATTAAAAGACTTTAAAAGTGATAACAATGAAAGATCATGGATGACTCTTGAATTCCTGTTCTAAATAAATTCATGCTCTAGTGAGTTTATGGAAAAGAATGGACAATATGGACAAATTCACCTCTTTTATTTATTTGTTTGTTTTATTTTATTATAAAGGCCATTTCTCCTATACTTGAATATCAAGGGCACTGACAACAAGTCATTAGTCACAAAAGTGTTTGACCTATAATGACTACTTTTGTGCCAAATTTGATGTTTAATGATTACTCAGATAACAAAAGGAAAACATGTTGGGAACTTTGATGGCTAAAGAGTGCCCTCTAACGTTCATATAGTAAACATTTCTACCCTTTTTTTTTTTTTTTTTTTGCCTCTCTCTTACTAGGTATATATTTAGTAAGATATCTTTCTGACTAATTCATGACCAGTAAGGTTCTGCATCTGTAGAAATCACTTTCTGGATTTCTAACAATTTATTCCTTAGTCTTTAGCATGTCAATTTAAAAGGAGAAAGCAATTTGAGTAGAAATTGCTTTTCAAAGAAAGCAATAAAGTTCTTAAATAATGAAGTATTATTAGAATCAACATAATCAGGCTATACTTTAAAAAGTTTTAGAGAAAGGAATTATTTTTGGTTTTTTCTAGAACAGAGATAGCAAACTCATGTTGTCACAGCAGCATCTCGTGATGTATCGGGACTTTTTTTCCCCTTTGCTAAACTGGGGGGGGCAGCACATGACACATCTGGTCTGTGGACCATGAATTTGACACCCCTATTCTAGAAGAAACAAAATTATGACTAAGCCTTACAATCTGAGTCATAATATCACAGAAATATTTCACTTTTATTGGGGATTCAGATATTATTCGAATAAGTTTGGATGCCTTCTAATCTAGAAAAAAATCAGAAGAATGATTCTCAGTTTGTAGCTATCGGATTGATACCTGAGTAGAATAAAATTTAGTAAAAATACTAATAGATTGTGTAATTATTTAAAATATTTGGACACAAAAACTTTGTTTTATGTTCATGTTATTTTAATTGGCAATAGACCAGATTCTATAAATTTGATTCGTTCACTTCTTTAGAACCACTAGGATTAATAGCTCATCATATAAATCCTAGACAGGCAATATAGGCATAATTACAGTAATAATCTCAAAATGGCATTTTTTTGTTTATTTACTAGTCATATAAAGTGCAGGTTACTTCAACTATACTATCATTCTTGAAGCAATATATTTATTTAAAGAGGACAAATAAGCATGTGCAACAGAGGTGGTATTCAGCAGGTTCTGACCAGTTCTGGAAAACCGGTAGCGGAAATTTGGAGTAGTTTGGAGAATCGGCAAATACCACCTCTGACTGGCCCAGCCCCCATTTATTCTCTGCCTCTTGAGTCCCAGCTGATCAGCTGGGTCTTCTTTTGTTGCCCTTCACAGGAGAACAGAGCTGGAAAGCAGGTTAGTGGGGTGGGGGTGGGGGAATGGAGATTTTGCAGTATCCTTCCCAGCCATGCCCACCAAGTCATGCCCACAGAACCGGTAGTAAAAACATTTGAATCCCACCACTGAACTGAAAGATTTTGTATATAGAACAATGGGCCTATGCTTTCTATACATGGGGGTGGGTGGGTTGTAAACTGTTTTTACATTGCAGTAATAACATAGAAACATGTCCTTTTTGATATTAGGAGAATTGAAAGTCAGTAGAACAAGATCTGAGAAATGGCTTATGAGGTAAATTCATTATTTGGCCCACTCAGTGCTAAGTAATGAGGTAACCGATGAATTTTGGCACTAAATGACAGGTGGTGTATGAAAATAATTAGATATAACTGAAATCAACTTTTATTTAAATGAGAACACATTAGAATCACCGAAAAAAATGAGGAAATATTCACCGTCATATAGATTTGTCTCTAAAAAGTGAAAATAAATTCTTCTGCACACACTTTTCCTAGATACCAGATATTATTTCACTGACATTACAGCCAAATATATTTCCTTTTTGAAGTTGCAGGGAAAAAAAGTCAGTAACCAAAACTTCAAGTGAAAGAATTTTGATTCCTGCAGGCAGGTATATATAAGGATTTTTCACTTTTTAATTGTCAACCATGTGTATGAAGACAGTTTTGGTGTTTTAGGAAATAAAAGTGAAATTAAAGAATGGAGACTTCTGCTAAATTTTTAATATTCAGTATTTAATGTTTATTTAATATTATTTAATTAATATTAATAAATATTTAATATTCAATAAAAGAGCAAAACTTGTGATTAAAGCTTTCAGCATCTGTTTATGATAAAGTTGCCTTCCTGTTCCAGGACTAAGATTGGAAAAGACATTCTTAGAAGCGTGATAGAAGCAGGAAGACCCCAAGACATTTACCAGAGAATAAACATATTGCTCAGATATAAGACTGTTGTATGGCTTATTTGGGATACCACCAGGTTCTAGCAAATACGTAGAGTTTCTGTAAAATGCTTTGCTTTCATGCTTTCCTTGTTCTGCAGTATCCTGTTTTTCTTCTCAAAATAGCCTAAATCCTGTGTTCTGAAACTTATTATCTTCTGTTACTGCTATCTTTTAACGCATTTTCTTACTTAATTTATGTCTTTTTTCCAAGCGTGAATATCCAGGTTTCGGTTGGATCTATTTTAAGGTGAATTAATTAATAAGTATAATAATATGTTTTCTTATGTTTCATTTAAAACTCTCATAGTTATAGAAAAATGTGTGCAATAGACTTAATAATCACTTGTATCTTCCCCCCTCCCTTGTTTTGTGTGTCTTTTATTCTATTGGAAAAAAATAGGGAAACCTACCACCAGATTATAGGATAAGTCTAATTGATATTGGCCTGGTGATTGAGTACCTGATGGGAGGAGCTTATCGCTGCAATTATACTCGAAAACGCTTCCGAACACTCTATCACAACTTATTTGGCCCCAAGAGAGTAAGGATTGTTATTATTGAGTTTTTAAAAATTGTTTCATAAAAGAATACATTTAAGGTGGTGGGTTGAGAGGTGATTTAGCTAGATGACATTACTAGGCCTTTGGATACATCTTGAATGTTGAAAAACTGTTATGGGCACTGCCATATAATGATTCTGGGCTGAGCCAGTTACTTCAGTACAAAAAAAGGGTGTGTTCTGAGCTCATTCTGTGAACAAACTCCTTCCTTTGAATACACTTACTCAAAGCTCATTCCTTTCCCAAATTCTAAAACTTTAGATTTTAAAGTCATGTTCCACCTCCCTGTTCTAACAGACACTCAAATTATCTACTTCTATTACATACCCTCTTTCATTGTCAACCCATAGTACATACCAAAAACACAGTCTGTAACAAAAATATATTTCTTTCCTGTCCTCTCTTTTATTTGTTTGTTGTATTGATTGATATCGCTCCTTTCACTCAGGAACTCAAGTACATATGTATTTTTCTCCATCATAACAACCTTATGAAGTAGGTTGATCTGAGATTTAATTTCAGTTCCTCCCTCCTCCATCAAGAAATCCCTCAGCATGTTCCTTGTCCCTGCTTCCTCTATTCTTTTCATAAAATAGCCATAGAGGAACGCAAAAATAAACTTGAAGACAATATGCACCAAACACTGTGAAAACATCACCTTAGGCATAGGAGGAATAAATTCCCAGGAATGGGAGGAGGAAGTAAGAAATAAAATCAAGGATGGTCCGTCTTGTGTTTCCTGGGTGTAAGAGGGAGGGAAAAGGAAAATTTGGCCAGCTTTCAAGTTTCTGCTTTATATCCTATAATAATAAAGCAGAGTTACACAGTAGTTCCTATGCTATCTGTTTCCTGCCCTAGACTACCTCAAAGGATTGACATAGCTCTTACTCTAATTAGTCCCAGATCTCTGCCAGCCTTCCCACTCTGTCCTCAAGCCTCTTTCTTCCTGGATAATAACAATGGGATATCAATTATTATTCTTTCCTTTCATTTTCCAGTGCATTTCTCACAGTAAATAATTTTGAACTACTGAATTCTGGCCCTAGCCTAAAATAAAGATATTTCATAAATATGTAAGAAAATAAAATGACAGTTGGAAGAATTCATTCTCTGCTCTAAAATGTGTCCAATCACCTCTTTTTAAAATTAAAGTAATTGAAACACATAACAGTATGACACCTTACAAATACAGAAGGAGATATCAATTAATAACATCATTCCAACCCCCTACAGCAGGGGTGTCAAACTCGCCGTGTCATGTTGCCGTCACGTGACATTTCGTGATGTTTTTTCCATTTGCAGAGCTGGGGTGGGCGTGGCCTGCGCGTGATGCATCCAGCCTGCAGGCGGCCAGTTTGACACCCCTGCCCTACAGCAACTGGACTTGTACCTGAATGCCTCTTTTCAGTTACAGGTATCTTGCATCCAACAAACTCTAATTATAGCTACAAAATGCTGAAGAGATGCATGGGGCTAAGCATTAGATGCCAGATATTGCTCTGCCTGATACAAAGTGGAAAAGGATGTTGCTGATATTTTATCCAGTTCCTAACATATAGGAAACTTAAAAGATGCTTTCAGAATTTTCTGGGGAGTTGAGGGAGCATCCAGTTTAAAATGCTGGAATAAAGCTGGATGACAGGAGGAAAAACAAAACATAAGGGTCCACATTATTAAAGGAAAGTTTACTTTTCTTTAATGAACTTTGGAATTTTTGTGCAATAATACAGATCTTTCCCAAACAATAGGGATATGTAAAAACAGTTAAATATAGTAGAAAGTAATTGCACTAATAACATCAAGAAGCTTGCAAAGTATGTATGTTGAATCCAAAAATGATGAATGAACAGGATAGATTTTATTTAGTCCCTTGTTTTTTTTGAAAAGTTATATATAGAATTATTCTTTTCTTTTTTTTACCTACAGCCCAAGGCCCTAAAACTTCTGGGAATGGAGGTAAGTGGCAGGTCACTCATTTTAATGACATTTTAGAAACTTTTAGAACAGAACAAAATATATTCAGGACTGTGATTCACACATGACTTACATGATTTTTTAAAAACCTAGTAACCTAGTACTCAAGGACACTTGCAATTTAAGATTTCAAACAGAGCTTCTTTTCCCACCATAGAGGACGGAAGCAGAACAAGAAAGAAGAGAAGGAAAAGAAATCAAACATCCCACTGGACATGCCTAGAGCATCAGGCATACCTAAAATTTATCTTTAAATCCTGGCAGGAAAATAATACATGTTTGCAAGATAATTTGTAAAGAAAGTCAATTTTCATCTATGACCCTGTGCACATATTCATATGTATAACTATGGAAAAGAGACAGGAAAGTTTATTTAAAGACTTCTCATAAAATTTCATAGTTTCAGTGAATAATGCATTGAAATATCTGCATTTGGAAACAACCACAAACATTAGAAGTATTAGGTAAGAGTCAGTATAGAAAATTATAATGTTATTACAAGATTTCTTGGGGAAAAACACCTCTTCAAAAATTATCAGGAAACTAACTGTTAAATCAATATTATTAAAATTTCTATATTTAGATGAGAATGCATCAGGATGTTGAAAGTGATTTTCCCAGGAGTATTAAATCAGCACTGGGCATACCAGAGAAGTATTTTTGGAGTGCTTATTTGCTGATTGTTAAGTATATCTCTAAATTATTGCTGTTAAATAAATTAAAGGTAATTTATACAGTTTTGAAAGCTATTAGGCATTATCATTGCAAGGAGGGAAAGGAAAAAGATAGAGAGATCTTTCTGAATAATTAGATCCAGATAAGCTCCTGTGCAACTATAGAAAAGAAACAAGTTCAATGTCTTTTTAAGAATGACATTATATTGCTAAAGATACTTTTAGTCTAACAGTATTTTTCTATGCTCATCAGGATGATGTTCCACTACGGAGGGGAAGAAGCACCACTAAGAAACGAGAAGAGGAAGTGGATATAGACCTAGATGATCCTGAGATTAACCATTTCCCTTTCCCCTTTCATGAACTGATGGTATGGGCTGTGCTGATGAAGCGCCAGAAGATGGCTCTTTTCTTCTGGCAACATGGAGAGGAAGCCATGGCTAAGGCTCTGGTAGCCTGTAAACTTTGCAAAGCAATGGCCCATGAAGCATCTGAAAATGATATGGTGGATGACATATCTCAGGAACTTAATCACAACTCCAGGTTGAGCTATTCATGAATGTTACATTGATGTCCTCCATTTTGCATGACACAGAATCTAGATGAAATAACACCACTTCTTTTTATTACTGATCTGCTTAAACTAGAAGTTTCACAATGCTTTCCAAATCCTCAGAGAAAAACCAGACAGTGTCAACAGTGTTGGCATGAGGGACTCCCTCTTGGAATGTTTGCAAATACTTTCCCAGATGAGTGAAAGGTTTGCAAGAGAAATAAACATTTCATTCCAAGCCGAGGGCTCAATGGGCTGGCCTTGTAGAACAGAACAATGCTTCTAAGCCGAACCATTTCAAACAGCCATTGAGAATATTGGCTTGTAAGACTTCACTGTTAGAACTGAGGGTTAACCGTGCAAAAGGGGAAACAGTTATAACAAAGATTGTTGTTAGAAACATGGAAAATCAATCTTCCAGTTATCCATAAAAAGCCAGGGTTTTATTGGCCAAAAACAGTACTTTACAGTCTGCTTAGAAAATAATGCAGGCACTGGAATTCTAATCTAAAGCCTAAGTAGCCCTATCAGGAAGTTTCTATTATCCATACATGTCAGTCCTTTAAAGAGCTACCCTATAGAAAGCATACTGCAATAGTTTAACCTTCATATTATAAATATATAAGTGACTGCTGATAACAATTATGGCCTGATTAATCATAGCATGCTAAATGCCTTTATGAGTATTCTTAATACAGAATTGTCCATATCTGAGTAATAAAATCTGCCAAGGCAAGCGTATGTTATCACTATTGGAATCTTGTTTCATATGAAATTCAGTGTAAATGTCTATGGAGATTCTCAGTCATCCAGGCCATGGTTGTCCCATGTTCATTTCTCATTCAAGAAGTTTCTTCAGAGCTGAAGAAACTTCTTGAATGAGAAGCCAAACACCTTCAAAGAAAAAAACGGAAAGTTCAGTTGCCTCTTGAAAAAGCACCTTTGGGAAACTTAGTCTGTTTAGTCAAATCCAGTCCTTCATTATGTCCACAATTACCAAAGCATCAGACAGAAAGGTGCTAAGACTTAATTCATAGACCTACATAGAATAACAGAGTTGGAAGGGACCTGGGAGGTCATCTAGTCCAACCCCCTACTCAAGCAGGAGAATCTATATCATTTGAGACAAATGGCTCCCCAGTCTCTTCTTAAAAGCCTCCAGTGATGGAGTACTCACAACTTCTGAAGGCAAGCCATTCTGCTGATTGTTCTCACCATTAGGAAATTTCTCAGTGGTTCTAGGTTGCTTGTCTCCTTGATTAGTTTCCATCCAATGGTTCTTGTCTTGCCTTCTGGTGCTTTGGAAAATAGTGCCCCCCCCCCCCCCCCCCCCCGTTAATTTTATGGCAGCCCCTCAAATACTGCAACACTGCTATCATATCTCCCTTAGTCATTCTTTTCACTAGATTAATATACCCAATTCCTGCAACTGTTCTTCATATGCTCCAGACTTTCCTCTAATCATAAAGACTATAGTCAGTCCAGACTTCCTATAAAGCTTGGTTAAATTACACTATACTTTTATTATTGAAAATCTGATTCTCTCACAGAGTTCTGATACAAATGAGATCAGAGCCACTAGATTAGCAACAAGGAGAGGATAGACAAGTGGAAGCTAAGGTTTCCTAGCAAAAATTGAAATTAAGTGATTTAAAGAAGGGTCTAATCTGAAGCACACTACCTGCAAGTGCTCTCAGGATCTTAGGCTGTGATGCAACCCTTGCAGAAGTAGCTGTTAACAGTTGTTTAGATGCCACAAACAGTGACAGATGCATAAGCTAAAAAAAAAAAAAACGCTGTTTCTTACAGAGATTTTGGCCAGCTGGCAGTGGAGCTGCTGGACCAATCCTACAAGCAGGATGAACAGCTGGCTATGAAACTCCTGACATATGAGTTGAAGAACTGGAGCAATGCCACATGCCTGCAACTTGCAGTGGCAGCCAAGCATCGAGATTTCATTGCACACACGTGTAGCCAAATGCTACTCACAGATATGTGGATGGGGAGGCTTCGGATGCGCAAAAACTCAAGTCTAAAGGTCAGGATTGTTTTAAGTGTGAAACTTATGGGAAAGTTTATATGTTAAATCAGCATATAAATATAATATAAAGTATTGACTGTTTCTAAAAATAGAGAACAGCCATATATCTTTGCACCTCAAAAGGGTGGATCGCCAACTCATTTTAAAGCTTTAAGGACCTTTATAGGGTACTAAATCAATTATTGATTTCATTCTTACCTACAAAATAGTTACATAATTTTAAAACTTATATGCCCAAATGTCTCATTCCTAGATGCATAAATTGCATGTGTAATAATAAACAAAAAGAGCAACTTATTAATTGTGATTGTTGTTATCATTATTATTATTGATTTAGGTAATTCTAGGAATTCTACTTCCTCCTTCAATTCTCAGCTTGGAGTTCAAAAACAAAGATGATATGCCTTACATGTCTCAGGCTCAAGAGATCCAGCTGCAAGAAAAAGAGCCGGAAGAGCCAGAAAAAACAGTAAAAGAAAAAGAAGAGGAAGATATGGAACTCACAGTAAGGAGAAGACTTTGCTGGAAGTGATCTGCATAATTATTATTTCTTTGATTGCTGTCATCAAGGCACACAGTGAAATTCAATATACATTCCTCCAGGCATCCATTTTTAAACAGACCATACCCAAATATTAATAGTTACCAGGGATAATTCCTAATTAGAATGTAACGTAGTACAGTATATTTATTAGGAAAAAACATGTTGAGATGAATTACCATGCTTCCCAAATTGCACTAGTGATTTTGTATTTTATACATTGAGTTTCTATCATATCGTTATTTATAATACTTTTTTGAAGAACATATCTTAAGTTACCTTGAATAAAGCTATAGGAGGTTCCCAATTATCCAATTTTTATTTTTAAAAAAGTTAAGAGAATTAACAAACAAAGAAAGATGGTTGTTAGTTGATACTAAGTTCAAATTCCAATAACATTTTAATGAATAAAACTCATTCTATACAATGCCCATTAAACCTGCTGGAATACAACATCAGTGTCAACAGCAATCCCTCTGCAATCATTTAAACAAAATAAAAATAAAACTAAACAAAAATATTTCCACTGAAAGCTATAATGCTTAGCATACAGTTCCTTATTATTTATGTTCATTATATTCTGTATCTTTTCCATTTATGATTAGGAAAATATACTCCAGAAATGTGCCTAAAACAATATGTTCAATATTTAATTCTACCCATCCCTCTGCCATCATTTTAGGATGACTTCAGTTATACATTTTATTAATAAAATGTATGTGAAAGCTTGAAAATGTGCAAAGCAAAGATAATGGCTTCACAAAAAGGTGAAAGGCTATTTTTTATAGAAAAGCTTTAAGCAATTTTGGGTTTTGATTAAAAAATTAAAAAATAGGATGTTTGGAAATCATTTTACATTTGAAACTACAGAAAGTGGTTGCTTTTAAAAATCTATTTCTCTAAAGATTAATGTAAAAAAATGTAGGTTGGCCTTTTCTGATACCACTAGGGTCAATCTTTGGCCTAAGTTTTCATTCATTTTATTATTATTTTTGTTATTTTATTTGCTTTTCTTTAAATCATTATAAACATGCATTAGATAGCATGTTTATTATGACAAACACTGACTAGTAATTTGAAAGGCTAATTCAAATCAATTTATTGTACGTAAAACAGAGAATCAAAGTCCCTAATATAATCCAAATATTCATAAATTCACTGCTGGCATAAGATTTTTATAAGCATTTATTTGTATTTTTACATCTACTGACTTTCTTTCAGTGTCCTATTCAGTTTAGAGAAGCCATTAAAACTGGATTGCTTGTTAAAAATGAGGCTATTTTCTTCAGGCCACCAGCAAGAACTATCCCCAGGATCTTATATGCGGGCAGGCAGAAGGCTCTGCCTACTACAAGAACCACAATTCAGGGAAGGAGACGATCGTAGGCACAAGATCAACCTACAGGACCCCTATTCAGGCAAGACCCCGGACCCTGGAAAAAGAGGAAAAGGTCATAAGCCAGCATAACATTGACAGGTTGCTTTCCTATGATATGAACTTATTCTGCTTTAATAGTAATTAATTCTTGCTGGCTTCTGATCAATAGATGACGTGCTGATTCACATCCAAAAAGCACAGATTGTTTACTGGGTCTATATCATAGTGAACAGCAATTGGTCTCTGTTATACTCCAGCCCAAAGATTTTCTCCAGTACCATGTTTTGTTTGAACAAAATTCCGGCATGCCACTACCAAAACAGATGTAGCATGGTTTTCCTCTCCCTCCTCTTATTGTGACTTTAATCCTTCACCTGTATTTTCCCCATGTCTAATATTAAATGAGTGAACCTGTAGTATAATATATATGGAAGGATCATGAGTGTAATCAGACTTTTTTTCAATCAACAGCAGAGTGGTTGGTTTGAAGTAGTCTGATGCTGTGGTTTTCTTTTTCAGAGTCTTCAAATACGTAATTGTTTTAAATTTAAATGAACAAAAAGTTCACATTGTTGGGTTGAATGCTGTTGGCAGGAAAAAAGGAGAGATTGAAAGACTGCCCGGGTGAGCAGTCATGAATATTAAACAAGTATGTTAGAAAGGAAGCAGGATACAATAGTTTGAAAAATAGGAATGAGGAAGCAATATGCAGTAAGACATGGAGAATATCAAACATTATATTATATTATATCCAACTAACCCTGATTAGTATCACTGTACCACACATTTGAAGAAAAGCATGCTGTAACCAGAGCAGATAGATCCTTCCTTTTTAAAAAGAAAAACCATAATGTTCTCCTCATTGAAACTGAAGGGTAAAGGGGAATTCTAGAAATACCTAGTAGCCATAATATGTATTGACATCAAAATGTCTGAATGATATATTAATATTATTTGTGTTGTCTACATTTTTGTTTTTATAACTTCATTTTTAATTTTTCTACTTTGCTTTTTTATTTAAAAAAATATCAATCAAAAATCCGAACTTTATGCTGACAAAAACCTACAATGGCCATTTTTATAAATACTAATAAAGATAAATGAAATATAATTATACATTATAATACTTTTTTCATGTTTCTTATCTTAGCATAATATATACCGTGTTTCTCATATAATAAGTCCCAGTCTTTTTTTTTTTTTTTGAGACCCGAAAAAATGGCTAGGCTGTCTTTTCGGGGATGACTTAATTTTTCCCCCCCTTGCATCTTTGGGTGGGCGTGTGGTGACGGCTTGGATGTTGACCTCGGCGTTGGTGGGGCACTTCGTATCGGGGTCAACGTAGGCAGCACCATATCCGGGTGTGCAACAAAAGTAACGGCAAGCCCCCTCACCATTCCCCCCCATTTCGCATGTTTTAATATAGGCCTTAATTTGGGGGGAGGGGCTTAATTTCATTTCATGCCTATAAAACATGCTGGGACTTCCTATTGGGGGAGGCCGTATTGTTGGAGAAACAGGGTATTATTTAATGATATTTGCATTTTGTTTGGACAATTGGATCAGGTATAAACTATTGATTGATTTCCACCAGTTCTTTCATGTAACTGACAAAAGGATTATTTCATTGCAGACAATTTTTCATTGAAGATTTTCTTTATTTTTTGTATGTGAAATAATCAAAAAAAAAATCTTGAAATTTTAAATATGTCCGAAAGAAATCACAAGAATATTCCTTTAAATTTCAGATAAGGTGACCTCACATAGTTTGCAATTTTGGATTTGTAACAAAAATATTCAGCTATTCATTGTTAATATTTTAATTATTTAACCTAAGTAATATATTGATAAACTTATGCATTATACATTCATGAAAAACAAACTAAAGCAATAATACAATTTAAAATACAAATGCCATAATCAGATACTAAAAGTAATTTACAACATCTTTAACGATATATTCTGCCAACATTCCTGAAAACAGTTGGATCAAATCTTAATTTTCCCCCTTTTCCATGTTAATAAGTGTGTCTCTCTAAAAACTGTCATGGCCTTTAAAAATCCTCTTGCATTTTTATAGGAAAAAAATAGCTGAAAAAAAAGTGAATCGGCAAAATGTTTTCCAATAAATAAAAAAGATTAGAAAAAGTAAGATTAGAAAACTATAAACTTTCCTTTTAGCAAATATATTTAATTGCAAGCCATAAGCATTTTCTCCTTCCAACAGATCAAACATTATCTTCCTAAACTGCCTCAGTCCAGCTTGGTAAATCTACCATTAATAATGATTTATTATTAATCATAAGTATTTATTATAATGAATATATAGATTAAACAAATAATTTTTAAAATTTCATTTTATATCCTAAAGCTCTAAATCAGGGGTGAAATAGTCACAGAGTGCGTCACAGGAGTCACAGAGTGAGTCAAAGTCACAATGGCGTCACAGGACATATTAGGACTTTGTTCTGCTTCGCTAAACTGGGCATAGCCATGGCCAGCATGTGATGCATCTGGCGCATAGGAGTTTGACAGCCCTGCTCTAAATCAATGAAGGATACCAATAATACTGTTGGGTGTTCTCTTGGTTCTGAAAGACCATTTCTTTTGTTTCCTCATACATTACTCTCTTCGTTTGTTAAAGAAAATACCTTGGAATTTCCTGTGAAACACTAATGAATGGCACTCCATTTTATTAAAAAAAAATAGGACCATATTCAATGTCATCTAATTAGAACTACCATACCCGGTGTATAAACATAAGGATCACCACTAAATGATAGGGAATTGGGTTAGACTAAGCTTCTACATAAATTTTCTTCCTTCTAGTCTGTCTTCCATCCCTTTTAACATGCCCTAAATCTGTTTCACGGTATTCTCCCGTGCATGGCTATTGTATCTGGATTGCAAAAATACAGATAGACAGTAGGTGGTAATAAAGAGATTTTGAAAACTCTTAGTTCTTTGCTGTCACTAAAAGGTCCTGCAAATTTTGGAAGATCTGATATGGTTGTCTTACTTCACATTTTTGGTGGACATATGAAAAGGGGAGATAGGATTGGTTCGATTGGTACATACTGTTCTTGTAGCTAACAACATTGGATCCAAATGTGAAGTATCTTTCACAACCACTCAGATCCTATTATGTTGCTATTCCAACATTACAGTTGTCAGTCCTATGGTCCTTCCACTTACTGTTGTATGTTTTCATTTTATCTGATTAAAACACACTAATCAGGAGAATGACAAATCACACAAATAGAAGCAATCTTTTTGTGTATTCCAAGAAATTTGTGAATTGCAGTTAGATTTTGTTTGATGATGTGGTACTGGTTTACCGTTTGAAAATGCAGTCAGTATTTCAATACAGTACTGATTTTTCACTCAGCTTTCTTATTATAATACTGAATATCAAATTACATTCATTTCTATTCGGCTTCCTCTCATCCATTTATCCAATTTTTTATTATTTTATAGGCAATGTTGGGACGTAGCAATGGAGAGTCATCAGCAAGAAAGAAGGAGGAGGACGAAGTTCAGAACAGACATAGATTGATCCCCTTTGGACGTAAAATCTATGAGTTCTACAATGCACCAATTGTTAAATTTTGGTTCTATACTGTAAGGAGCAATTATCATTTTATCTCCAATGACACTAATTTGTAAAGGCTTCATTCTTCAGTATGTTTGCATTATATAACTACTCTTCATAGATTTAGAGTGATGCAACTGGTATATGCTCTTTTACTAAGTTTATAAAAATCCACTGAATTGAGTTTAAATTGCTAAAGTTAAACTTTTGCAGTAACGATGTTTCTTCGTCAACTGATTTGCTTCTTATAATCATTTAAAGAGACTAGGCAATTATACATTTGCTTCACTTGCAGTCAAGGAATTGTACGCACTTTTTAAATAAATCCATAAAATGTAAGTATAGGATTTCATAGTATGCAGTGTATACTCTTGTATTTATATTGAATTCTTTAACTAAAAATTGGCCTTCTTGAAGGAGAACATTTCTTAATTACTAGAAATAATGAGATTTCAATAACATCAGCTAAACATTTAAATCATATATGCAGGTAAACTGGTTTTTTCTCTTTACAGATGTTTTACATTGGGTACCTGATGCTGTTTAATTATATCGTTTTGGTGAAAATGGAACGTTGGCCTTCCATGCAAGAGTGGATAGTTATCTCATACATATTTACAATGGGAATAGAAAAGATGAGAGAGGTAATACTATTCTAAAGACAGTTGTTCCTTGTGCTTTTTCCTAAATATCAATCTTACTGTAAACAAGATAGGATACTATCATCAACAGAATGCAGGTTTTTTTCTGGCTCTGGCTGGTTTTCTGTGAAGATCTGAGATACTTAAAAATAATGGAAATCACACCAGGAAGGGAAAACAGGAAAAAATGTAACAATGTTTCTGTTTGCAAGAACATCCAATGGAATAAAAGACTCCTGGAACTGACACTTAAAAGTCCAATCCAGTGTCCACAGTACTTTCTCTTTCCTTTTAAGCAAACTATAAGAATTTTCTGGTATCTAGGGGCACCTATAGTTATTGTGACAGAATTGTATATACAAATTGATTTTATTTAACTGACTACAGATGCCTCATTTAGTTATTACTTTTATAAAACAACCATAAGTCATAAGATTTTATGGTATATCAATAAGTAAAATTTAACAGTGAACTTTCATGCTTATCTGTGCTTATCTGTAAAACAGTAGTCCTTTCCCCTGCATATAATTTGTATGTTTCCCAATAGGGAAAATTTGAAATGCATATTTACGCTGGAAAATGCCTCAGAGTGGCATTTATTACATCCAACACTTCACGAGACACCAGATTGAGAAAAGCCATAACAAAAGCAATGTTAATGCATGCCTGACTTGAGAAACTTACCAATGTTTGTATCTTTCAGTCACACTTTTTAATTATGGCACTTGCCTTGTACTAAAAAGAAGAAATAAGTCACTTATTACTTCAGGCATACTATCTGATAGAGATAGCTTTCAGGGACATGAATAGAGAAAGCATTCGTGTCTTCATGCAATGGCCATTGTACGCTATGTTTGTTTTCACAAAGCATTCAGAAGCCTTGATTCTAGCTGAAAATTGTCTGGATTACAAGGAGGCAAACTGAAAGAAGATCCTGAAATATTTTGTCCGTACAGTAATGATACTGTACATGGTATCCATTCAGGATACACACACACACACACACACACACAGAGTATATGTATATGTCTAAGTCTGTACTAATGGTAGGAATAGACCTCAAGTACAGATCATGTAAAGTTGAATGACAAGAGGTGAGAGGAAAGAGTCAAGAGTCCTATAACTCTCTGTATTATAAGAATTCTGTTACAAAACCAAGGAGGCTATTTCACATGGCCTTACTTAGCTGGCTCTTATGTCCATATTCTATAAGACTTGCGGTAATCCTGTGAATAGGTCGTGAAATTATAATCCAGGACATAGTTGTCAAATCATTCATCATATTATTTTTGATACAAAGGCTATTCTTTTTCCATCTCTAGATATTAATGTCGGAACCTGGGAAACTACTGCAGAAGGTGAAGGTGTGGCTTCAAGAATACTGGAATGTTACCGATCTTATCGCCATCCTCTTATTCTCGGTGGGCATGGTGCTTCGCCTTCAGGACCTGCCATTCAGGAGTGATGGACGTGTCATATATTGTGTCAACATTATTTACTGGTATATCCGATTGTTAGACATCTTCGGGGTGAACAAATATTTGGGGCCATATGTAATGATGATTGGGAAAATGGTAAGAAAAAGTTACCCATCCTTCCTTTTTGTTCTGCATGTTATAAGCGAAAACAGTAAAAGGTGGTACTAGTTTCATACAATCTTTAGAGTGAATCTTTTAAGTACTTTTCTGTGTGATGCAGCTTCCTTTTGTTATAGTGTAGTATTCAGTTTGAGAAAAGATATATTTTGTTGGCAAGGCTTGTGCATTTTTTCTTGTCCTTATCAAAGTTATTTGGATCATTGATTCAAACAGAATTCTATGGAATTTCTAATTGGGACTACAAGCCTAAAATTGTTAGCAGCATTATACTCACTATTTTTATAGAAAACACATATAGATACATTCAAATGTCACTCAAACTATGAATATCTGGAAATGGGATAGAAATAGCCCTAATCTGTTTTGCATATAAGCTAGGATAGTTAGGAATAACCACAGTCTACAGTGAGGGTACAGGGGAAGTTTGGGAAAGGTTGCTAAGCTATGTGATACACTAAAATGATATGGACCTCACAGACGGACGTGGGGTAAAAATTAATTAAGATCATTCAAGCCTTCCCTTGCTATTTAAGAGATGGAGTATTTTAAGTGGCAGCAAATCTCTTACCACCCTTATTCATTATTTTGGAATGCCTTTATCACAGAGCCTTCATTGCATGTCTAGTATTGAATTATGCAGGAATAATACATTTCAGTAGAGTCGATAAGAGTAAGGAGTTGAGATGTGAGGAAAAGCAATAAATATAAAAACTAAGCTATTTAATTTAATATAAAACTGGGTTATTTAAAGAGGTAGATTAGCAATGAAACCAAAGTCAGGGATATAACAACAACAACAATAACAACAACAACAACAACAACAACAACAAAAAGCAAATACTAAGAAACAGCAGAATAGAAGAGAAAAAACTGAGGGGAGGGGAGAGAATCACGAAATGCAAAGACCTGAAAATGGAAGAGGAACAACTGTGACCCCCCCCCCCCCAAAAAAAAAAAAGGCACAAAGAGAAAAAGGCAGTTTGAGTGCAATTTCAAAACATCTGGAGCACCATTTGAACACCATTGGCATGTTGATTTATTCCAACGTCTACCAAAGCAGCTTAGTTAACTGACTCATTTGATAGTGCTAATTGTAGCCTAGGCCATAGTAGGCCAAACAACAAATGTTTGCACAGTTCCACACCCATTGCAGAGAAAAAAACGATTTATTTTTTCATGCATATCAAAAAAGGGCAATCCATATGCATCTATTTTTATTGTCATGCATACCTCATCTTTGATTTACTTTGTAAAGAAAGCATTAAAGCATTCTTGAGAAGGAATGAGATGAGTTCCTCAGCGATATTTGAAAGTTATATTACATCACATTCTCACAGAAATGTGGAAACATAGAATTTTACTGGGAGTGACAGAAATATAAGGTTTGCAGGCTAGAGTAAACCTGTTCAAGTAATGAGACTTTAAAGTAAAATTTAGGACTGATTCGCACATTCATGTGCAGCAATTAATTCCTCACAAAACATAATAAAATGTATGCTCACCTTCCACTTAAACATGTGAGGTGATGCAATAAAAAAGTAATAAAAGGCATTACTTGATTTGGCCCTTGTTAAAAGTTAGGAGCACTCCAGTAATGATAGGAGTAAAATTTTGACTGCATGTCTGTTTAATCCAAGAACAAAGGAACAAGTAGTTGCTATGCTATGCTGTGCTATGCTATGTATTGGGCTAGTTTTTTCTGTATTGAAACTGAAAGTCACATAATGTTTGCCTGTACATGTGTGAACAGATAGATAGATGACTGATAGATAGAACAGATTTTATTAACTCACTTAGAAAGAAACAGAAGCAGAAACAATCAATAATAGTCCCCCAAAACCCACAGAATTTGTATTTATTTTGCAACCTGTATTGCTGCCTTTGGGTTACAAATGGAAAGAAAATTTCTATACCATTTTAAAATGTAATATTTCTGCACGAAAACTTGGGATTTATTATGGTGCATGATTAAAAGATCTTCAACATAACAGAACATAATATTGTAATAGCCAAAGATCCAGCACAAGTACTTGAAGATTACCATGACAAGCCAAGCACCTTAAATAGCGTGTTAATATGCAGATGTTTAAATCGTTTGATGATTTATGATTTATATACAAGTTGATTTATTTGTTTTCCAGAATAAAGTGGCTTTCTTTCTCTGTCTGTGTAATTTTTTTCTTTTCTTTCAGATGATAGACATGATGTATTTTGTCATTATTATGTTGGTGGTTCTGATGAGTTTTGGTGTTGCAAGGCAAGCAATTCTCTTCCCCAACGAAGAGCCATCATGGAAACTGGCAAAAAATATTTTTTACATGCCCTATTGGATGATCTATGGGGAAGTGTTTGCAGACCAGATAGACCGTAAGCAAGTTTATGATTCTCATACACCAAAGTCAGGTATCAAACTTTGATCAGTGATGTTTTTCATGATTATTATTAACACTCTCAATAAATGGCTCAAGATAGAGGACTCAAACATTGCAGGAAAGTATGATATATTTAAAATGTTAATCTCAGAAGGTAAAATCAACATTTCTATACCACCCAAGCTGCTTTTTTTTCACTTTTAATACCTATAAATCATATTCAAAGTACACATCTACTTTAGTGTTTTACCATTTTAATTAATAGTTGCCTTTCCCTGAGAATCACTAGTAATGCCGAGAGGTCCCAAGCACTCCTCAATGAGGTCCATATTTGAGGAGTCTTAACCAGATTAAGTTTGTAGTACAGATTATATCAGTTGCCATCCATTAGCTTAATGGTGGAATGTACAAACCGTGTTTGTTCATAGACCATTCAATTCTAGAAGCTACTGCACCAGTTCTAATTTTTTACCCAGTATTGAAGTTACAGTGACATTATACTAATTTATGCCATATTTTGACCTCTTTCAACCACCCTGTTTTGGTATATTAGTAAAATAATAGTTATTTTAAAATATATTGTAAATGTTGTTTATGTATTGAATAAGGACTTTATACCACTTTGTACTTTATTTAGAATTGATGGGGTATCATGTTAAGGGTTAAGGCTGCAACCTGTGAATTCCCTGGATCAAATTCATTGTTTGCCATGAAATCACTAGGTGTCCTTAAGAAATCACTCTCTCATTAACAACTTCTCTAATTGTAATTTAGAGATATTAAGATGATTTATATTACAAGGCTATTCCAAGAATTTCACCTCGTATTACCTGGGAGAAGCCTGAGAGTGTTACACAAATACGAAACTTCATTTTTTGTGTTCCAAACCTGGAATCTTTTTCCACATATGTTGTTGTAAGAATTCATTTGCCTGGCCCATTGCAAACATTATAGTTCCTTTTTAATGCATTTCCTGGTGGTTGTTTGTGTAATGTGCCAGACTAGATCATGGTCATATGAAATTTTGGAACTGTAGAAATGAACAAGAAGAGTGTGCACATGCAGGCATGTTAAACTCACCTCTTCTGCTTGAGAGCACAAGGATGGCATTTAAAGGTCCAAATTCACTCTGAGCACAGTCAGAAACTTTTTCAGCTATTTCCATAGATCTGTTGGGATGTCAGATCTTCTTTCAGGAATGAGTCTGTTTCTATAATATAGTTCAGGAGTGTCAAACTCAAGGCCTGGGGGCCAGATCCAGCCCATGGGGTGCTTAGATCTGGCCTGTGGTGCTCCACTGGAAACAGCAAAAGACCAGCTCACGGTGCCTCTGCCAGTGAAAACAGATCTTGCTTGGGACACGTGCGGCCCCCCTGAGTTCCGTTTTCACTGGCAGAGGGTTTCAGGAGGCTGTTGCAGCCGAAAAACGAGCTCTGGAGCCTGCTTTCACCGGCAGAGCACTCGGGCCACCACAGGTGCCCCCCACATGAATGATGTCATGCTAGCTATCCCCACCCTGGTCACGTCCCCCCACCCCCGAGGTCAAACAAAACCCTGATGCAGCCATCAATGAAATCAAGCTTGACACCCCTAATATAGCTCATGCAAAATTCAGTTACATAAAATATAGAAAGAGAGAAGCTAATTGGCTTCCCCAATTATTCAGATTTTAGTTTTTTAAAAAAAAACATATTTGCTGCATTTTTATTTAACCTTTTTCTCATTTTATATGCCCACTGTAAGGAAGCATTTGATGAAATACCTTTATATGTACTCTTTCCTTTCTACTATTGATAAAAGAAACCCATATCATTCTCCAAAGAGAAAGAAAGACAAAAAAACCAATTATTTCTTTCCTTTTGCAAATTATCCTTCCTTTTTGTTCTCAGTTATAATGCGGAATTCAAATGAACAAAAGTCCTTCAATGACTTTAACTTTCTGCTTGACTACATATTTCCTTTTTTATGTATTTGGGGTTTAGGAAAGCCAAGAAGTGGGAGAGAAGTAGAATCCCAGACTGTGGAATTTCTTTTCAAAAATGTCTGTTCCTCTACAAGTGGCCATTTATTGCTGTTGTACTGAAAAAAAAAATCTACTGGCATAATGCAACATGTTCCACAGCAACTTGGCTGAGGAAAACATGCTTTTTCTTGCCGTGTGCTGATTCTAGTTTAGAACCCTGGAAATGGAGAATGGAAATGACAAAAACAGAGCATGCTGTAGTTCTCTTTGAACAGAGGAGCATATGTTTAAACCCATTATAGAAAACTATATATTACATCTGTTTTAACGTACACCATTGACTGAACACCTAATGAAGCTGTAGAAATGATTGTTTCAGCATGGAGTGCTTCATACTGTACTATCAAAAGTCAGATTGTCAAAGCCCATGTATCACCTTCCTCTGGAGGACTTGATGATAATTAATTGAAAATTAATTGAATCCCTAAGTTGTTTTAACCTCAGCATCCAAACAGAGAAGGCAGAATTTGTCAGCATTTGTGGAATGCAAGCAGCCTATTCAAAATCCTTAAGATTTTGGCTAATTGCTTGGCAAAATAGCCAGAGGATAGTGTTTGTTTTTAATATAGATACAGGATACAAATCCAAGATGCATAAAGAACTAATATAGTCTGACTGCATTTAAAGGATAATTTTGTTCAATCAAGTTATGTAAAAGTCAGAAAATGTCCCAAGATACGAAAAATTGACATCTGAGGAAAGAAAATGAATAGATGCTAACTGCTAATCTAGGACTTGTAAGTCCATCTTTCTGCTTCTGTATATTTTATGTTCAATCGATTTATTATTGATGTGTCATGGAACAATGTGTATCTTTGTACACAGAAATAGAGGATATTAAATCACATACTGTTATTTATCTATTCAGGGTACTATTTTCTCACTTTTTGAAAAAAAATGTACAGCTCTTAGTCTCCACAGTAGCCTAAGCTAAATCAGCAACAACTTACTATGCAAATTATTATCTTTCTGAATTATCAATCCATCTATCTTAGAGTTCAGTACCATTTATTTAAAAGTGTATGCTATACATACATAGATTCAGGTTTTCCTTTCCTTTGCATTGGTATTACTTGTTACTAGTTATAAATTCTGGGTTCCTTTTAAAACCCACATATCTCTCACTATTTGTTTGATCTTAATTTTATAAAGTATTTCACTTAATTTGAGAAATATACCAAGTATTATGTAAGACTCTAAGATAGGTTTGTCTTTTCGTTTCATTCTTATGTACTGGTATGTGAAGCATGAAATCTGGCTGTCCAGGTTAACAATCAATGTCTCATCAACTGGCAGCCTCTCCATTCAATGAATATATTCTATATTCCTCATCACTTTTTTTTAAACAAAGCATTTAATGATTTCTGGGCCAATGCATGTTTTTTGTAATTGGGTTCTGGTGATGGGGTATCAGTAGATAAACGTTTAAATTCTTTTGGAATAGGAAAAACAATGTGTGTGGCTGGATTGTACTGTTAAGTTTTGAGCTTCGCTTATAGAAATTGTCATTCTTAAAGTCAGAAGAATATATAACTATTTGAGACTCGTGGAATCTGGTTTTTTAGACTTCTCACTGTTGATGTGGAAGAGAACACAGCTTAGTGATCCCTTCATGTCTATAATTAAAAGGTTTTTAAGTAATAAAGCAAAGTGGCAGTGTGGAAGAAAATCCTGAATGGTATTTTGAAAAATTGTTACCCATCAGGGAATAATAGGTAATTTAGATACCCTATCATCTTGCCCAGACCATTTAAGATATGCATAGGATGAGAAAACCACCTGAAATCATGATGGGCTGCTATCCAATATAATTCTGATTGCTTGCTCTTCAATGATTGGTTGAGTGTGCTTCAATGATTGGTTGAGTGTGCTTTTGAGTCATGTTTGATTTATAACAACTTTAGTTTTCTTGACAATATTTTCAGAAGTGGTTTGTTTCTTCTATAGGGTTTCTTTCTATAGGACTGACAAAGAGTGACTCCACCAAAGTCACCCAGCAGGCTATGTGCCTAAGGCAGGACTAAAACTCCAGCTTTCTGGTTATTAGCCCAAACTATCTCTCATTCAGAGACATATAAACTAAAATCCATTCATGTTTGCTTAGTATCTGCTCCACTAAAATTCAGCAATTAATTAGAAGGGCAACGGGTCTTCAATAAATGTTCACCTTATCACTATGAGGATTTTTATGGATTTTTTAAAATCAGATGTTTATCTTTATCCTAGCAGCTGTGTTAATCTTTATTAGTTAAATATTTGTCACATCTGTGATTTTTTTTTAAATTCGATCACAACATGAGAAAAAAAATTGGCCTGAATTATTTCTTATGTTTGGCAAGACCTGCTAGTACCACACACAATTGGTATGAAAACAACAGCAAATTATTTTATTCCCACCACCATGGTGGAAAACCTTACTGGTGTGGAGCCAGTATTTAGAGAAATATACTGCAATATGTTTAATATACAGATTCATAAACTGTTTTTCCTCTCCTGAATGCATTGAAATAAAAAACAGAACAATTGGAATACGCAGGATCTTTTTCCATTCATATCTTTATGCATGAATTTATATCTCTTCTTCTTCACCATCTACTGACCTTCTCATCTGAGTAGAAGAGAAGACTGTTTCTTTAGCCATCAGCACTTTACAAACACTTCCAGCATAAGATAAAAAACCTTTACTCACCACTTGGCTATATTATTAGGAGAGCAATAACAAAGTAAAAAAAAATATCCCAATATTCAATTTAAAACATTGGAGTCCCATATGACACAGTTGTAGGATTCTAGAAGTAGCGTTTCTCAATTAATATAGACATAGTTTTATATACAATACATTTATGCTGCTGAATGGCTGATCACATACTCTGAACCAGCACCAGCCTCTCTTCACAGATCTGCACATAGGTTACATTAAAAAAAGGTTAAGGTGTCCTAATTTTTTTTTGTTTAGAATTAGAGAAACAATATTTTATGT